GGGGCGCCCCCACGCTGCATCTGCCAGGGGGCCCCGGGGCCCGAGCCCCTGCCCGGCGCCGGCAAGGGCCTTGCTCGAGAAGGGAGACCCGGAAAATCGCCCTTACCGGGTTTCCATCCCCCTGCCGACCTCCGCTCCCTTCCTACCCACGGGGAGGTGTGCACGGTAAAACAATAGAGAGCGAAATAACGTGTTTCTAATCCATCTCTGACCACCGTGGTTTTTAATCACGCTTTTCTCCCATCAGTCTTTGGCAAACCTACCGCTAAAACCTAAGGGCTTTAGGGAAAGGACTCAGGCCGTTAGCACAGTGCCTAACAGTGAGCACTAATCCAGGCTAGAGGCTTTGGGCACTAATGCAATACGAGGAGTGACTGTGATATAATTCAAATGGAATGGTTAAGTCTGCAAAAGCAAGTGTTTTCCATCACCCCAAGTGCTAAGTGAATAATCAGTAAAAAATAAAAATAAATGGGTGTGAACACAGTGGAAAACAGATTTGTTTAAAAAATTAAAAAGAATATTCATAAAATTCAGTTTGTAAGTGTTTGTCCTGGTCTAAACAACTCCCATGGATTATTCATTATTGAGCCCAATGGTTTCAGTGCTTTTTCATTAAGTAAGTCTGTATTAATCATGTATTGCTGATTTCAAGCACAGGGGACAAACGCGATCATTATTTTGTTATTTGTTCTCCAGGGGAAATATTTTAAAATGTGATGATAAAGAGATTCCATATATATTCCTAACTTGACAAGATTTCTTGTCTGAAGGAGGGAACACAAGGGAAACTATAAGAAAAGCAGATAGGCTTTAAAGAGAACAAAAACCCATCGTGTGACATAATTCTCTGCTTTTAAGAAAATAATTTATCTTTGAAGAGAGATTTCCAGACAACTTTTCAGTGCTCTTCCGTAAATTCTCTTCTACTGCAGTAAGACTTTCCCAGGGCAGAATACAGAACTTGCTATTGTACTCGCTGATGGAGTGTAATTCAGTAAGACTTTGTCATCTTGGCAAGTTATACCAGTTCAGTCAAACAGTGAGGCTTCTCTCGAGTTTTCTGCACATATTACACTGTTTCAGCTTTTATCTCTGTTACCTGCCTGCCAGGTATGGCCATTCTGGCTTTGATGGGAGGCTGGTACATAGGCAGGCATGTCTGCTGGCTTGTCCATAATCATAATTAGAAGCTATAATCAGAATTTGGTTTATTCTGGTGAGTTTTTGATCCTCAACCTTGTATAGAAAGGTACCCTTCCCACGTGGATCAGGACAGGGGGACATGGGACTATATTTTTACAATATATTTATGCTGACAATCTCACAGATTATTTTAACCACAGGGTGATTCTCAGTGTCGTAACAATTAACGCAAGTCTTGACTGCCTTTTTAAGCCTCAAGACTATTTTCACAGACTTGATACCCGTGAATTAAAAAGTCATCCACAAAAGAAACACTACTATCATCAGGAAAACTGTTATGGTTGGAATCTAGTTTCACAACATGAATTGAATAGAAAGAAAAGTCGGGAAAAAAATGTTTGGTTAAATATTTATTGTATTTATTGTGTCCCTTCGATTTCTAGATTCTTAGGCAATCTGGCCCTCTACTTACCTGATGACTCTGGTACTGTTATAGCAGG